TATATATATATATATATATATATATATATTTCCATTTACAGGTGAACCACAACCAAGTGACGAGACTTCATCTCCCAATGACGGGTCTCCATCTCAAGGAAATTATTCTCCTCCTTGAGACGCTCAAGCTCTTGCCTTGCGGCGAGGCGCTCAGAATGGGTCTTACCAAACGATCCGGACATCTTTTAAGGACGAAATCTTGAACAACATACAATTTTCCATCCTCTCAAGCTTAAGAAAGGATGGAAAATTTGCCTTTTTCTGTTCTCCGAGTTCTATGGGGTTACTTTTGTCCACCTATTTGAAAACGGTCACAAAAGAACCTTGAAGGGCACAGGTCACCAACTTTGTAAAGAAAACAAGATAAGTGTGTTTTGAGAAAGGTGGAAAGTTAAGAGACCCAACGCATACTTGTCACCATGCTAAATCAAACAAGTGAAATTCCACAAGTGAGCAAGTGGAACTGTCTAATCTCCAAGCAGAACATATTTTTGTGTCCTTAGACTCATGTTTTGCCGTAGGGTTTTTTTATGGCAGATCCCACTGTAGATAAGGCATGGTCTGTGGCGGAAACTTTTGCCTTAGATCATCTACAGTAGCCTAGGATCTGCCATTTTAATACATTTTGTACCACACACGCACGACTACATAAAAATGTATGTATGAAGATAGTGGGAGATTTAGTAGAAAGACTACCTGGAAGTTGAGATCCAACCGCTGGTAGGTGGGATGAGGCAACAACCTGTCGTGACAAAACAAAGGTGAAAGGTCAGTGACCGTGAATAGTTTCCCCCAAGAAGGCCAGTAGTCTGTGCAACGCTAACTCTGCTGTCCGCGGCTTTAGTGGCCCCTCCTCTGGATGTTGGGCGGCGGCAACAGTGTTCTTGTCGCATGGTGGTACATGTGTACAACTTGGCAGCAGGCCAATGTAGGCTACTAAGCCTCTACCAGGCTTGAGGAGGCGGCTGGAAAGAGTAGAAATCGGCCAAAATAGAGAGATAAGCATGCCAAGGGAGTTTGTCCGTTGAGGCGGCGAACTGTTCTCTCAACGAGGCTAAAAGTAGGCCGATGTCATACCAGGGTCACACCAAGGACATTTGTGGTTGAGTCGTACAAGGATCATTATCACTATAATAACCCTCAATATATAATTATTAACCCTATCAGGGGCCAGGGTCACACCAAGGACATTTGTGGTTGAGTCGTACAAGGGTCATTATCACCATAATCAACCCCCAATATATAATTATTAGCCCCATCAGGGGCAAAGTAGGGGGGAGGAGTTGAGGCCCTGGCGGTGGGAGCCGTCATAAGACCACAGTAAATAAATTTTATGGATAGCATCCTCCCAAGACTCCAAATTTAATGCGATATTTTATGGATGGCATCCTCCCAAGACTCCAAATTTAATGCGATATTTTATGGATGGCATCCTCCCAAGACTCAAATCCAATGCGATAGCGCGAAAAAAAACAAGGCAGGCAAAACAAACAACAGTATTCCTAGATTTTCAAATTTTGGCATCATAAACCTTGCTAAGGTTACTATTACAACATTCATTTTGCCACTGAAATAACTTTGAAAAATATCATTGTACAGATGGTTTTGACTCAGAGGGAACATCACATATACACAGACACGTGTCACATACAGTATAAATACTCTGAAATACATCACTGCATCAAAGTAACAAAAATCAGAGCCTTGTCTTGTCTCCTCTTTTCATATTTAGGCCACAGCAAGTAATTTTTATGGATGACATCAGCGCGCGCATTGATTTTCGACAGATTTTGGAAAAAAAAAAGAAATTTTGTTACCTTCTGAAAGTGGTCACCGTGCCGAAAATGGGCAGAGATGTCTGTTGCCATGCCGGAATGTGGATGGCAAATAACTATGAAGAGAGGAGACAAGAAAATGCTCTGATTTCATGTTTTGTTTCTTACTTTGATGCAGTGATATGTGATGTTGGCTGTGTATATGTGATGTTCCCACTGAATCAAAACCATATGTACAATGATTGAGTCAAAATTTTGAAATGTGGGAACCTTTTTTTTCCACCCATGTTGTTTTTTTCACCCGCTCGCATTAGATGTATAGTCTGCGTAGGATGTCATCCATAAAATTTACTTGCTGTGGCCTTATCTCACACCCACATTCCGGCATGGAAACACACATCTTTGCCCATTTTCGGCATGTTGACCACTGTCAGAGGGCAACAAAATTTCTTGTTTTTCGAAATCAGGCGAAAATCAATGCGCGCGCCAATAAAAAAAATTACATGCTGTGGCCTAACCGTACCAGGCAGGGTATTCCACTGGAAAATGGCATGGGGGTGAGTATTTGTATTTATCTGTGATGAGACAACCCCCTCTCTTGCCAAAAAGAGACCAAAAGTCGTACAGCATGTCAAATTCCGCACACACCACAAAACGTGAACAACACTTGATAACAACCGGATTCAATTTGACTACAGGCAGGCCCATGTTAGAGGGTCTGCGTAAGTTGTCGACACTTTAAAAAAATTAGGAGGGCTGACAACGCTTAACGACGGTACATTCAGGAAGACCTGTAACGTACACATTTGCAAGTGCTAAACACTGCAACTCACTCTTAGAACATGGCTACCTTTCCTCAGTCAATCAGGGGCCCTCGGGATGCCAACAAAATCCTTGGGAGGGCGGGGCTGTACCAAATCCACATAAACTCGCTCCGCCCATCCTTTAACTAATACTTAATAGAAACCTTGTGAGTTGACGTTTTTGTAGTTAAATGCGTAGTTTTGAACAGTAAACGCTATTCGTCTGAATTCGAAGTTTGAACAAAGACCCACGAGTCGCTTGGTTATCGGATGCATCGATTTTCATACATGTATTTTCTAGTGTACTGTAAATGATTCCGATTTACGTTTCTTATACATAAGCTTAAGCCAACCTTTTTTTACCGATACTTCGGTGAGAAAAATCGGTGAGTAACGTTCACTACTACTATGTAACGTCCAGCAAACTAGCGTACTTGAAACTCTTCTGGCGCCTTGTTTTACAAGAAGTTCTAGTTACAAACTAGAATTCCGAAATTTCATACCTCCATGAAATATGATCTTGATATGTAAATGTAAATTTCTTCTTTAATTGTTCAAATGACCTCTGCATTAACATGATGTATGCATCGTGATGTACATGTATGTTAACTTTTGATTAACTTACAGATGTCCCAAGTATGACATTCTCATTATTCACCATTACGAAATCATAGAATTTTCACATTAATTATGCAAATTAGGTCATCATTTGCATAATTAGTATCTGTTGAAGTTCCGCCTGCCATAGGTTACATAGTATAATGTAAAACACTGTAATTATAGAATTTCCTCATTAATTATGCAAATAAAGTCCTCGTTTGCATAATTTACATTTAATTATGTACATCTCTCTCTCAGCTACCTACACACCAAAAATAATGAAAATATGTTGTTCCTGTCTGGACTTATTGGCTTTTAAACATTTCACCAGAAAGTGCCCTGCAGTTCCAGAACAAGCCGCTAGGGGGCCCAAACTCATGTGACTTCTTCCCAAGCACGAGAGCTACCTATCATCCAAATTTCATGACCCTAGCATGTCCAGATCGCGATATATCAAAACCGGAAGTTGCGCTGCAGTACCAAGGGAAGCCACTAGGGGGACCAAAATCTCATCATTTCCAGTTTTCGTCACACCCTACCAGTACACCAAGTATGAAACCAATCCATCCAGGCGTTCTTGAGTTATCTTGTTGACCAACAGACAGACGGACGGACGGACGGACAGATAAACGCAACTGAAAATATAACCTCCATGACACATTTCATGGAGGTAAATATTGACTTCATGAACTGCAGATGAATCGCATGTTTGTTAAAATAAATTTCTATTTCATTACAAAAACGATGTTATTCTTCGAGTCTTAGTACTCTATACATTCTTGTTGTCTTCGTATATGCATGGTGTGCTGGGGAGGGGGGGCGGTACGGACCAAAAATGTTCGCGAGGAGATGACTTCGCGACAAAAAGTTCTTCACGAGTATCGCGAAGTTAAATCCCTGACGAACAAAAATGCATTTACAGTACTTAATCATAAACTTATGGAAGTTGTTCAAAACTTAACTCACCTGAATCACAAGAGGGCACCCTAGTGGAAGAGGATAGACTCTCGTGCCTCGGCTCTGAACCGGTTTAACCGTTTAACAACTCGCAGCCTGAAGGGAAGACGTACGAGAAAAGAACATACGGTGCTGCGTAAGTCGGCAACAGACAAAGGGAAAATACTAGTACCTCGCCTGATCATGACAAGTCTGGTAGTACTAAAACTAAGGACGTTAATTTCTCGACAGTGACTGGTTTCGTCACTGCTCAATTTCTAGAGATTGAAATGAGATGCTAGCGATAGCGTAAACCAAAATGTTATCCTTCTGATATGTTTTTTTTTTGGTATTGAGGTCACTGGATTGTTCCTTTGTCTTTTGTAATTCGTAATCAGAGCGGGAAATCTGATAGTGGACCAGAAGACAATATGCCTCACTACGTGTATACATGTAGGCATTTGCATTGATGATGTTTTAAGGGAAATGAATTAGCTATATAATTCTATATGATGAAATAAATCAGCTGCATTCCATGATAAGACTAGTTCGTTGCATATGTAATCGGTAACGAAACATAGGCGGATATTGATTATGTAAATGAACACTTACTTTGCATAATCAATGACAAAATGTTATAATTCCACACTGGTAACTGCCTGGAATTGGGGTACTTGAAAGTTCGGTGAAGATGAGAAACATAAATGTATTCAAATAAGGACCTCATTTGCATAATTTATGAGGAAATGCTATAATGTCCTTTTTGTTGAGATAAGACTGCCTTCGGGTGGAGAATAAGATCAACTGATATAATTCATGCAAATGAGGATATCCTCTTTCTATATATTGTACTGGACAAGGCCCCAAACTGGGGCATCACGCCCAGGGTATTTGCATAATCAGAGGGAATAATCTATAATCTATAAATAATCATAAAGGTATGGGGTCGTGGAACTGTAGTTTACTATGACATGGTTTACGATGGCAAATTGAGACCCTACGTCCTTATGAAACGGCTGATTGTCGAGATCCCAACGTTGTAATGTTGGTCGTATAAGAATAGGGATTTTGACGGGTGTCAAAAAAGAACACAGGGTATAGGTATAGGGTGGGGCTCGATCGGGAACAGGCCTTGAGGGCCCTATCACATTCTTTGAACGAGAAGTTTACTATGCTATGACATGATTTACGACGGCAAATCGAGTTCGTACTGAGGACAGTTATGTTTGTGTCCTACAAGGATCACCTGTCCTTTGACGAATAGGTTGACCAAGAACATGTTGACGGCTCTAACATAGCCTCGTCGCTTAAAAAAACGAGAACGATTGTTATACAGATAGGGACAAGAATATGTAAATACTAAATGAACCCCAAACTCACTTTCAACGGCACACGGACTCAGCTGTTGTTGATCGACTGAGTATTGACCAGATGTCGAAAGCTGTAAAAAAAGTAGGCTTTGCAGGTACGAAGTCGGCAGTGTATCTATATAGACTTGCCAGCCGATGAACTGTGTGTGACAAACTGTACCAAGGACATCAGTATATGATATCTTTGGCTGTACGTACCTGTGTCACTTGTCGCCTTCAGCTAGGAATGTATAAATCACTCTGTCACGTAGCTGTCAGCCGCAGGGACCGTCTGTCCTCTGGCGGTCGTCAGTCAGCCGGACCGGCGCCTCGCGAGTCCTTGACATCGCTGATCCATAGTCATGCAGGTCTGTTGGTCGTCAGCCTCAGGGTTAGGTCCCTCCATGCTGCCCTGTCTTGTGTCAGGTCTTTCTTTCTGTCTGTCTTTCTTTCTCGTATCTGTCTATCTATCTATCTATCTAACTATCTATCTACCTAATAACTATCTATCTATCTATCTATCTATCTATCTATCTATCTATCTATCTATCTATCTATCTATCTATCTATCTATCTAACTATCTATCTACCTAATAACTATCTATCTATCTATCTATCTATCTATCTATCTATCTATCTATCTATCTATCTATCTATCTATCTATCTATCTATCTACCTATCTATCTATCTAATCTATCTATCTAATCTATCTATCAAATAACTATCTATCTATCTATCTATCCATCTATATCTATCTATATTATATGGTGGCTATCTAATTATCGGTACATATCTATATCTAATCCGTTTGTTATGAAATAAAGACTAAGCTTTAACTTCCAACGCTAACTACAAAGAATTGGGACTTACCCCAAATCTTCAATTGACTCCATCAACATTGTTCACGGAATGGACCCGTCTACTCTTGGAACGTGACGTAAGTCCCAATTAATGCTTATTAATGCTTTGTAGTTAGTGTTCGAAGTTAGAGCTTAGTCCTTATTTCATAATGGCTTGTACCAACTTTCATGCTAATTCGTTTGTATTGTTTCATGTAACCGCCAGGGGGCGCAGTGTGCCCATGAAAGGCAGCGGTATGTATTTCATCCATCGGGTTTAGGGGTGCGTTACCCTTCACAGGTTTATCGTCCGGTTGATTTTCCGTCTTGCGACAGTGGCAGAAAAGTGAAGCTCAAAAACTTAAATCTTAAAGTGACAGTATAGACTCAGCAACGTTTTGCACCTACAGATAAAGTTGCTGTGTCATTTTGTGTGAATACACTAGTAGCACAACACCATGTAGTTTCAAACTACGATGCTATACGTACTGGTTAGGTCAAAGGGTCATTAGGGTTCAATTTGGCCATTTCTTAGATGTCCTGTTGTGTTTTCGTCTCTCCTACTAAGAGCGTGAGTCAGCTATTCGGTATGTTGCCCTTTCACTTTCTAAGTTCGCATGTTTGTATAGTTACACAATGCGGTATTCCTCTAAAGCGACGGTCACAACCCGCCGTACGTGCTTCTGCGTGCTGTCTACGTGCAAAAACGTGGGCAAACGCAGGGCATCCGTGCGTGGTGAGTACCACCTCCGTACGGAATTCTACGGATTTGGGAGCACGCAGACACGCCGTAGAACTTTGAGTGCATGTAAAACTTTTTCTACGTGCGGTCTGCGGATTCACCACCCGTGCGTGCGAGTACGAGCGACGCGCGTGCCCCCTACGTGCCGTACGGAAGAAGCACGTGTGAGTACGGCCTCCTTACGGTAAAGTTGCAATCGCACAGATTGCACGCAACGGCTCACGGCCAGACTTGGCGTACAGACCACACTCTTACACATTGCGCAACCGTGCGAGTGACGTGCGAGTGACGTGCGTCGAGGCCTCTCCTTCCCCACGTTTTCAGAAAAAACGTAGCAGACGTAGACGGGGAGATAAATGCATGGATGTACAATGTACAATGTACTAGAAAGAAATTACAACAACAACAACAATAATAAAGAAAGGCTAACATCAGGTCTAAGGTATAAAATGATTTAAAAAAACTATATAAAGTGGTATCTAATAGCTTCTTCTCTCCCTTTGAAGCATTTCGAAACATACTTACATACTTAATTGATGACATCTATATTTATACATAATATGATATATTTAAAAGTGTCTTCTTTTGATAATGTTTTACATTTTTGTCGAGCTTAATTGGACTGAACAGTGATTTACGTTCGTTATCATATAATATACAGTCAAGCATAAAATGCGATTCATATTCAATACAAGAATTGTTACAGAATGTGCACAGTCTATCTTGTAACGGCGTACGGCTATGCCTGCCAGATTCTATGTGTTGGGGATGGTCGCTAATACGGAGTTTACACTCTAATCATCAACATATTATCTCTAATCATCAACTGTGTGCTTTTTCGCAAGATACGAGTTTGCCAACATGAATCAACGTCTTGCATGAGAAATTTCCCCTAAAGCCTCGGTGATGTGTTGTTTCATGGCGTTGGTCATGTCCACCATGTTCTGGACGTCCTCCCAGTTGTCATGTTGGTCCTGGGCGGTCGTGATGTCCTGTTCCTTCAGCCAAGACAGTATCGGCAGTACTCTGTCCGGCTGTAAGACGAAACATATACCGAGCTTATTATACATTCTACACCATGCTAACAGGCAGTTTAACTTTAACACTAAAAATATAACTTGTAAACAATTCTTTGTTTAGACCATGTTTTATGTGTTATATATGTCCAGCTGGTATTTTGTTTATGTCTAGTGGGCCTTCTACTTTGCCATATCGAAGGGAAATTGTTTCTGCATGTTTCTATAGCAATATGAAAACCATTGATATTTCAATGCTCATGTCATTGCACACATATGCGTGACTCAAGTGCCATTAAAAAAAGTTCAGGAGGTAGATTTTAAAATCTTTTGTACATGATACTTACGTGAATGTATCGTGTGGAACAGAGACGGACAAAGAAGTCATCGATTAAATCATAACGTCCGGAAGACAGGAGTACTGTATAACGGTACAGAAAAACTGTCAAAACTTGGTTGATAAAGGATTCGAACTCCTGTGCCAATTCTTGATATACTGTTATCTGCCAACGTTTGCGATGACATACCAAGGAAAGAATGAACAGGATAAAAGGACAGAATAAAAGTTACAAGATGCGTAAACAATAAATCTAATGAGATTCTTATCAATTATTCACATCATACAGCAATGTTGCTATCAAACCTAATGGCGGAATTTTAAGATAACAATACTCTGTGTTCGTCCCTACCTGGTACGTGTACCTGCCTTGAGCGGGTGCTCTGTCCGGACTGTCCGCCTGCCGGAGTAGCCTCCAGCTGCTGTACGTGTACCTGCCTTGAGCGGGTGCTCTGTCCGGAGTGTCCGCCTGCCGGAGTAGCCCCTGTCTGCTGTACGTGTACCTGCCTTGAGCGGGTGCTCTGTCCGGACTGTCCGCCTGCTGGAGTAGCCTCTGTCTGCTGTACGTGTACCTGCCTTGAGCGGGTGCTCTGTCCGGAGTGTCCGACTGCCGGAGTAGCCCCTGTCTGCTGTACGTGTACCTGCCTTGAGCGGGTGTTCTGTCCGGACTGTCCGCCTGCCGGAGTAGCCCCTGTCTGCTGTACGTGTACCTGCCTTGAGCGAGTGTTCTGTCCGGAGTGTCCGCCTGCCGGAGTAGCCCCTGTCTGCTGTACGTGTACCTGCCTTGAGCGAGTGTTCTGTGCGGAGTGTCCGCCTGCCGGAGTAGCCCCTGTCTGCTGTGCGGCTGCCCCAGCCGTGTCGCCCGCGGAGACCACGTCGTGAGCGCGGTTTGCCGTCGGTAGGCTTTGCGACTCCCTGCCGCACGCCACAGGCTCCCGCGAAAGTCGAGGTAGGATGATGTCCTTACCGACTCGTCCTCACGTATGCTATGGCTGCCAGCATTCCCAATAATACCGCGCAGCTTGTTCACGAAAAAGCTAGTCGGCAGTCCCTCCACGCCACTCCGCGGAAGTTGACACGCCAGGCGACAGTTGGGGCAGGTCAGCTTCCCCATTTTCGCTACCATGTTTTCCAGGCATGTCTTGCAGAACGTGTGCTGACATGGCAGGACTTTTGGGTGGAGGTAGTCTTCGAAGCAGATTTGGCACACCAGGAATTCTTCCTTGATTTGGCTCGCAACTCCAGACGCCATGTTCGAAGTACGTAGTACATAACAAGGCGGGTGAGGTCAGAGGTGACAACGTCGAAGTTCACTAGACAGTTAGCAACCACACCCCTTTGCAAGAGCCAGAAATATTCGGATGTGTTTTGTTACATATTCTCAGTACACAGTTTTGTCTTTTCTCTGTATACACAAATGGGCTAAATGATGTATAATGCTGACCGATGAAATTATTGATATCAGCTTGTGTGTGTGTGTGTGTGTGTGTGTGTGTGTGTGTGTAGGTGTGTGTGTGCGCGCGCGCGCGCCCGTAATATAAATATATCATGTAAATATATCATGTGAATAAATAGGTAAGCAGGCCATTCTACAGCAGACAATAGCTGCGTCATTTCGCTTCATCATATCTGCATGCATGTATGGATGACTTGTTGCAATGTTTCGTGTAACTGCTAGGAGGCACCCTTGAACCAGTGACAGGGCCACGGACGTTGACGTCAAACAAGCAGCAGTACGATGTATCGTAGGTAGACCACTTCAGGAAGTATCGTTGAAAATACTTAGTTCAATAGGACATAGAACACAAGACTTATCCTCCCAACACATCTGCAACTACCATATATTAATTTTATAATCGGTGAAAGTTTACACGAAGCCACCAGCCACACAATACCGCAACACCACGTTTGGTGCATAACTTGTTATAGGCTGAAATATTTCTTATGACAACCATAAGTACAGCAATATGCTTGCTACTGATTTATTCCACCTGGACAACTAATCAATATGTATCGTTTGTGTTTTTCTAATTCTTTTAAAGAGAGAACAAGGATGGAGCAGAAAGTCAAAAGGCACATTTATTGATACAAAATTGAGTCAGCAACATTCACTCCAAACACAATACTACTTTTTATTTAGCTTCTTGTATAGATTAAGAGTACAGTGGCTATTAGATGTGTTGTTACTAGTATATGATATAACGCAGTGTAGAAATGTATGGTATACAGAGTGGTATACAGTAGGTACGGTGTAGGATAGAATGACTAGTTGCCATATTATTTTTGCACATTTTACCTTATTTGTCGTAAACATATACAAAACTGCCCTTTTGCTCATGTTTACTGACATTTTTGTACGGTATGAGTGGTCATGGTTTACTCACATTTTGTCAGCAAAGTTTAAAATTGGACTTCACTGAATTCAGATAAGGTTGTGTTGCAGAATATATCATGGTTCTGACCTGCAAATGCCTTCGTCAATGCTGTATCTGTGGTACTGGGGAACTACAATAATCTTATGGATTAACGGGCATGATGTTACGACCAGCGTTCTAAGATAAAACGTTGCAGATAGAACTGTGTTAATTCTACGTGCTTTAATTTCCACTACAGAAAAATCTGTATTGACCAACAAAACGTAAACTAAATTGTTAGCCCCATTCACGAGGCATGATTGAATGCTTCCTGTGATAAGCACCAGATGATGCGGCATTGTGAATACAAAGTGAAATGTAAGCAAGTTCCAATCCACAACTATTTCAACGTACTTTAATCACCTGCCATAGCATGATAAATTTGTTTACACCCGCGAACAAAGAAGTTATCTTCTTTCACCTTAGGAACGGCTAACTCACGAACAGAATTACAGTTTTGGTCTGCTCCCTCGTCAAATACAATCAAAGAAGCGCTCTCCTTCTGAACGTAGCCTTCTTGGCTTTTGATAGTCTCGATAGTCTCTATGACGAAGTCCGGAATGTCTTCTAGACGGTTACCTTTAATATACACATGCCCTTCCCTGAATGCTTCACAGAATCCTGGCACCAGTTTTCCAGATACAAGATGCCCCACAAACTTGATTTTCCTGAGTGGCTTTGTTTTCTGAATTTCATCTTTGTGCTTTTTAAGTGTCTCAAGAATGCTATTGGCTTGCTCTTGGGTATATTTCACGTCGTAGTTGACAGGCAGATCAGACCTAGCCCCTTCGTGTTTCGCGGCTCTCTCAGACATATTGTGCCTGGAGAGTCTCTTGACGGCAGGGTTTGGAGCCGCGTCTTCTTCGTTCGTTTTCGCAGGTTGGAGTTTTGGAGTCTGTCGTGTTTGGCTCTTCCTTTGGTCAGTAGACGCGCTCGGAGGAAGGATTGGTTCCGGTTTTGGCAGTGGTTTTGGAGGCGGTGTCGGTTTGAAAGGCTGATGTAGCCCGCGCTTGCCTGCCGTGATGGCCCGAAGGTAGCTCCCCAGCGCCTCCTGGTGGACCGGGTTGTGCCGCTCGTCCCAGGAGAAGACGAAGCCCCGCCTGCCGTCCAGGTACGTGTCGTCAAACTGGGCGGCGATCTTGTGGTAGGCCCAGGTGGACAGGACGCTCGTGTCCTGCTCTCCGGCCTTGTACCTGTCATCTCCGCCGATCACTACAAGGACTCGTCCTACAACAATAAATGCCGTTTGTGAGAGTTGGGTAGAATTCGCATTCTCACTGTGAAGAGTCATTACAACATTCTGTACAACTTCACGGCTGTTATGGATTGGGCTTATTTTCTCTTACCGTGATACTTAAAATTATACAATTTGAGAGTGTTGACTTGTTTCACAGTCTTATAATATGTATGCTTACCCCTACCTGGCAGTCATTTGTACACGAAAACAATATGGTTGTATCGTACTACACCTACATACAGACCGATACTGTGTTCTAGATGAATCCCCCCCTCAGATTCACCAAAATAGATCAATTTCCATGAACAAACCGTATTGATACATGTATCACGTTAACCTTGTTTCTATGAACTGTGATATCTTAGCGGTGAAAATTAACATCACGCAATCTGTGGTATCGTATTCTGTTAAGAAACGTACCTTGTGCCGCCTCCAGTAGTGCCCTGTACAGTACAGCATATCCGATCCCGGCTTTTTCCTCGTTAATACTCAGACGTGACTCGTAGGCGTTCACTACGAACACCCCGCATAGGAGCTGCCGCCGCCACACTTCCTCACTCACCGCTTGTAACTGCGATAGTGGGAAGGTCTTTTGCTGTGGGACCACATGTACACCTATGTCTTTTGAGACACTTTCAAGCAGAGACACCACAGAATCTAAGGGATATGTACCATCGCAGTTAACTATCAAAGCCTCCTTGTCCATGTTGTCCATGACTGCGCTACACACAGACTTGGTAGCTTGACATGTTTCAGTGCTAGGCCGCGTCTCGCCTTACAGACGGTGCGTACATAGTTAGTGCGCATGTCGACTCTGCCACTCGCAAATTCTAAGTTTCACCCTGCAAACTGCGGTGGATTGTGCGCATGTTCAGTCCTTCGCCAAGTTAATGAAATACGACAGCAAACAAACGGCCTGTGGCTTTTGTCATTGAGGCCCGCAAGGGGTATTTGTATCGTTGTATCACGGACCGTAGTAGCAGTTCGGTTACACTTTTTGGCCTCCAACAGCAGGCTCTACGACTGCAGGCCTTTTTCGGGAGCCTTCATAAATTAACGCGCTTTCTTTCTGGAATATCACATTTTTTTGTACCGAGGTTGTTTTGCTGGCCTGGGCGCCTTGTAAAGGCTCACCAAACAGCCCAGACGTAGACCTCACAAAGTAGGAAAAACATTTTAAGTCTTACATCGTTTGCATATTTTTATCACCTATATCGCGGATGATACAAGTACGGCAAACAAAAAAGTGTTTATCCCTTTTATACACGGACGTCATACTTACATGTACACTCACAAAGTACCCAAACAATATATAATATGTGATTGGTGATAAATGGTAGTGCGTTTTTTTTGCCAATAACGTAATGTGATATCGTTATTTTTAATAGTTGTTACTAGTATATGATATAATAACACAGTGTAGAAATGTATGGTATACAGTAGGTACGGCGTAGAATAGAATGAGTAGTTGCCATATTATTTGTGCACATTTTACCTTATTTGTCGTTTCTCTATTGAGTGTAAACGAGTAAGTCACCAATAGTAATTATTGTTTAAAATAAGAAAGCACAATGCCCTGAAGTGAATACATGTACAAGCAAATTGCAACTACCAACGTTGACGCTGAAAGCCACAATTATAGAAAACGGCAACTTTTCTTTTAACGTTTAACAATATAACATGCCTAGTATTTATATACAGATTGCCCTTGTGTATACATAACGCCAGACGTGTACTACATATTTTTCTTCTGTATGATATGATTGGTAGCAGCTCATAACTAGCTAAACATATACAAAACTGCTCTTTTGCTCATGCTCATTGACACATCTGTACGATATGAATGGTCATGGTTTACTCACGTTTTGTCAGCAAAGTTTAAAAGTGGACATCACTGAATACAGATAAAGGTGTGTTGCAGAATATATGGCTCTAACCTGCACGTGCTGTATCTAGGTACAGGGGAACTACGTACAATTCAATCTTATGGATTAACGGGCATGATATTACGACCAGCGTTCTTAGTATCATACAAGGCAATACCAAGATAGGAACTTACAGTTAGAAGATTCTACGAGCTTTGATTTCCACTATAGAAAAATCTGTATTAACCAACAAAATGTAAACTTAATCGTTAGCCTGATTCTCATAAGGTATGATTGAATGCTTCCTGTGACAAGCACCAGATGAAACGGCATTGTGAATACAGAGTGAAATCTAAGCAAGTTCCCATTCACAACTATTTCAACGTACTTTAATCACCTGCCATAGCATGATAAATTTGTTTACACCCGCGAACAAAGAAGTTATCTTCTTTCACCTTAGGAACGGCTAACTCACGAACAGAATTACAGTTTTGGTCTGCTCCCTCGTCAAATACAATCAAAGAAGCGCTCTCCTTCTGAACGTAGCCTTCTTGGCTTTTGATAGTCTCGATAGTCTCTATGACGAAGTCCGGAATGTCTTCTAGACGGTTACCTTTAATATACACATGCCCTTCCCTGAATGCTTCACAGAATCCTGGCACCAGTTTTCCAGATACAAGATGCCCCACAAACTTGATTTTCCTGAGTGGCTTTGTTTTCTGAATTTCATCTTTGTGCTTTTTAAGTGTCTCAAGAATGCTATTGGCTTGCTCTTGGGTATATTTCACGTCGTAGTTGACAGGCAGATCAGACCTAGCCCCTTCGTGTTTCGCGGCTCTCTCAGACATATTGTGCCTGGAGAGTCTCTTGACGGCAGGGTTTGGAGCCGCGTCTTCTTCGTTCGTTTTCGCAGGTTGGAGTTTTGGAGTCTGTCGTGTTTGGCTCTTCCTTTGGTCAGTAGACGCGCTCGGAGGAAGGATTGGTTCCGGTTTTGGCAGTGGTTGTTGAGGCGGTGTCGGTGTGAAGGGCTTCTGTAGCCCGGGCTGGCCTGACGTGATGGCCCGAAGGTAGCTCCCCAGCGCCTCCAGGTGAACCGGGTTGTGCCGCTCGTCCCAGGAGAAGACGAAGCCCTGCCTGCCGTCCAGGTACGTGTCGTCAAACTGGGCGGCGATCTTGTGGTAGGCCCAGGTGGACAGGACGCTGTTGTCCTGCTCTCCGTCCTTGTACCTGTCATCTCCGCCGATCACAACAACGACTCGTCCTATATAGCAACAACAAACAACGTTCTTGGTAAGATTGGGAAAGGATAAAAAATGCTACAACAAAATGTCTTGGTAACTGAAAGTACGTGCATTCAATACAGAATGTTATGAATCACAAATGCCATGATGATTGTTGGCACAGGGTTATCAGACACGTTTAAAATTCAATAGTACGACCATAGTCAACGACATAACAACATAACAAGTACCGGCCACGCACACATAGTTACCCGTATGTAAAATTACAACAGGCTTGCAAGATCAAATATGAAATAGACTATTATTATAGAAAAAATTCATAATTGTATACTCTTATCAAGGTAAAGTGTCCTATATAAGCTATAAAAGCCGTGAATTTGTTTTAGATTTATCCTTTCACTTTCAATGAACAGGGTCTTTATAGAGACCCAAACATGGCCCCTTTTGGGATATATGGCTGCACATGACCGACGTTAATATGTTTCTCTTCACACTATTGTCATATTTACAGTTACGTAGTTACAGTTATGTATAATCCTACCCTCTGCCGCCACCAGTAGTGCACTGTACAGTACAGCATATCCGATCCCGGCTTTTTCCTCGTTAATACTCAGACGTGACTCGTAGGCGTTCACTACGAACACCCCGCACAGGAGCTGCCGCCGTCCGACTTCCTCACTCACCGCTTGTAACTCTGACACGCTACAGTATCGTTTCTCGATCCGAGTATTTCTATCGGAAGTGTTAGCACGTTTCAGCAAATCTTCCACGGAATCTAACGGGTACGTTTTGTCGCAGTTGATAAGTAAAACATCCATGGCAGACTGGTTCACCTCCATTGTTGTGCTGGTGAGAGTCTACGCTGAAGTGCTACTATCGCCCGGGCGCTAGGTGGGCCAGGTCACATGTTGTTCGAACACTTTAATAGAGTCGGAAACCAGACTTCATGAACGGGCACAAAATGAAGTGACGTTCGTTATCCGACACTTGTAAAACATGGATACGATTAGAATATTCATTCAAATTCCGGTTTCTATACGTGCACTAATGTTGACATTCCCATGTGTGTGTACATTTTTGTCTTTTATACCCATAACGTCTGGTTTGCCAGACTAATGTATGTGTAGCAAGGCGCAACGTTGGGTCCGTACGTGGGGCCCACTAGGTTTTGTGTCGAACGTTGAGGTTCGGCAGTTCCATTTTAATGAAAATAAGACCTGCGCAAAGTACGAGAGAATATAAAATTTAAACTGACCGGCCGGGAGTTTGAATTACATCACATCACATTGGTTTGTAGACATGATTTCCCTTCTTTCACTTTTTTTCCCTTTCTTTGGTGTATTTTCAACCCCGTGTCTGTAATCTTAACATGATCTTCTGATACTGAGATGCTATTGTTATTGGTTGTTGAGCCGGCTACTATGTCCTTGTAGCCAAGAGCTGAATTGTGAGGAGCTTACAGTTGTTGCGCTAAAGGTGACCTCAGTACGACCCCGGGTGTGACCATGAGACTGTAAGCTTTGTAATTGAACCAGTCACACCGGGAAGGTCCCCTAGTCTTTTTGATAAGTGTGGCGCGGCTCTCCTCAAACAGGGAGATTGGCACTGAACACTGCCAACTGATTTCCGCTCATAACAATATACCTAAACCACTTTAATGATATCGTATCAGCTACTTCTAATTTTTGCTTATACATTTCATAAGCCCATTTCTACCTTCACAGTGTGAAGCTATCAACCCTATATCAACGATCTCTGCCAATTTGTGTGAATGTAAGCCACGACTAAAGATCATCGGATGATATTAATTCCCTAGCCTGAACAACATACTCCCGTGCAGCCTAACCACTTTTTCCCAGAATGCGCCCAATCCTATAGCCTGGGTGCCATCCGATTTGTAACGGCTACCCCGCAAAAATTTTTTCGAGGTAGCCAGGATGGCACCCAGGCTACCCAATCCTTCCCAGTGTGAAAAAAAACAGGCACGTGGTCTGTGGAAAAGCGAAAACGTAGTTTATTCCATTATAGTGTTTTGCATGCTGTATTCTAAATGTAATAAGGCATAATAAAAAAAAAAATCCTCGGTATAGTCTGCGAAAACAAAACAAGCTTAAGTTGCTCTTGAAACATTATCTTTGGATAGAGACGTTACATTCCACCTCTGATCGAAATTCATAGAAATAAAACTAAACTAAAATATATTGTTGTACAGAAGCTTGATGCTACTGTACCTACCCACACTGGTCTATAATGTATATATATGTGTGTGTATGTATACATGTGTTTAAGTATATATCGGGCAAGTGGAACTGCCATTACTATTGGGTTAGATTCGTCGTTTCATATTTGACATGACATATGTTAATTTAGAGCTTGTTAAAGTTTAATTTTAATTTAACCGTTACATTTCACAAAAATAAAATAACATATGGATACATTCCGTATTATAGTCTTCACACTACACGGCATCAACACCATACAAAACCAATATTTGAATAAATGCTAGCAATAGCCACAAGTAGAACATGGTTCACTGCATCCCTTAATGGTTTGTGTACAGTTACAAACTTGAATCAACTTTATTGCTCGTTCCTTTCCGAATATACATAAGCAAGGGGGAGCACAACTGCATTACCCTGAATTGGGTACAATTTGTCACAGATCACATCAAACTTCTTTTTCTCACATAAACAGTGAAACACGGCATTCAATATTTTTTCAGCCCAATCAACTTAAATCTATTAATCCACAAGTGACGCCTACTCTAGAAATACAAATACAACAAAAGACAAACAATTGAGAGGCAGGGTTGAGGTCTGCGAAGCATCTTAAAATGTGCGAAAAGCAGGTGCTTCCTTGTCGCATTGCGCCACATTAGTTCTCGCTACTCTGTTCATCACTTTGGAAACTGAGAGCGGTCTGAACGGCAGACCGCATTCCGACTTTAAGCCTTGACTTCACTTCGCCCCAGAATTCCTTCAGTCCAGCAACGTCATATATGTCTTCATCTTCCAGCTTCTGAACTACCTCCTTCACCCTTTCCTCGCCCCAGTGGTGTTCCTCTGCGAGTTGGGAGATGAAGTCTCTGATAGACATGTGTGCAGCATCTATGTTATGAATACCAATGAACCTAATTAATGATATGACAATGCTACATGAATCACTTTTGAGAAAAAAAGTTGTATCTACTCAAGAAAGTAATCCATGGTTAATATTAAAGGCACATTTGGAACAGTATTTCATACTTTGGTCATCTAAAAATGTTACTGCAGAAACAAGCTCCAAGATGCATGAGTCCATTATTTTCTGTGTGGTACCCTACAAATGAGACAAGGGCCCTCTACTGGCTCTAGTAACCATTTTCCGTCAGAATTTTGGGAATTTTTGCTACGTGAGGATCAAAATACATTGGGTGGGACAGTGTGGTTTCAACTCACAATCTAGATAAATAACTAGAATATAATTGGCTTTGAAAAATCGGGTTTCCAAGCCCTAAAAACTGCATTGGATGCCTTTAAAACAACGCAATCACATATTCCTCTAAGCAGTTCTCACCTATGGTGGGTTCCGCGCGTTCTTTTGCGTACGTCTCACGCTGCTGCTGAACCCTGATGTATCCTTCCGCCGCAATCAGGGCCGTGTCCAGGACCTCCAGGACACTGACGGCCGACTCAGGGGATGTCTCAGTTTCAGTTAGAATATGGTTCACGAAAGCGTACGTTCTGTTTAAGATATAGCAAACAAAACCTTAAAAAACAAGAAATAGGAATAGAAACCGAAATGACACCCAATACTATGTTTAACCACCATTAATCGCAGAAATGAACGCTAACGTTAGATATATCAAACCATAGCTTACAGAAACAATTATGCCACCATCAAAATAACCAGGAACTGTCGTAACAAGAAACCCCGGTGTGATGACTTGCACCTAACCTATCTACGATAACTATTGGGAAGCCCATTAAGTCAAGTTAAAAGGTATGGCAGCGCCCACTTCTGTGGAGTTAAGGTTGGTTTCCTATCCCGCCTTCTTACTGTGCCGAGTCGTCACAATTCATATCGTATCAATTAATATCGTATTTGGTGGGGTCGTGTGGCGTAACGGCACAGTGCTCGACTCGGAACCAAGAGGTCCCGGGTTCGAGTCCTGGCATGCCACCGATCTTGTGCCCTTGGGAAAGTTCCTCACTTCGCTCAGGTGAAAATGAGTATAGTATCGTCCCCTGTGTTGGTGGCGGCATTAATACGAGGGCGCCGTCTCCACGTCTTGTGACTTCATGTTGGAATAGAAAAAAAATTATATCGTATTCGTATTGTATTTGTATAATCCCCCTTCGGCGTAACGAACGCGTACCTGTCTCTAGGACTTCCCATGGCTCCAGACATTTTGGCCATCAGTGACTCTCTCTTCTCCTTGTTGTCAAAGTCCGTCTTATTCACAAAAGCCAAGCCACCCACTGGACTGTATCCTGGAAATGGAAAATGGTGAAGACTTTACTGTAACAGTCTTACACCACGGTTATTCTTGTGTTTTTTTGCAAATAAATATAAAATGGGCAGGTTTTTTGACAGAAAATGTCCCCTCCCCAGAATAGGAAACTACATCAAATAGTAAAAGGATATGAAATGTATATTTATTTTTACCTTCACTCTTTAGGCTTTTCCTAATATCTTTCATTTTGTTGCTGTACTCTTTCGGGTCTTTGTGGCCCAGAATGCAGATAACGCCGTGCATCCTGTCCTGCAGTGGAATAGAGCCCGTCCTCAAGGCTTGACCAGCGGGGAGAGATTCTCTGTCGTCTTCCCTTCTCAGAATTACCTGGGACGGCCGGATTCTCCCTAATAAGCGTATTCATAAACCAAACAATAAGATATGCATTTTCTAGCAATACAAAAATCAAGGTTTAAATTCCAGAATTTTAACTTTGAAGTGAAGCATTCTATAACCGCTTGGCGGCCGTCATTAAAGCATGTGATAGAGGAACCTAGGAACGTGTAGTTTTTACGTTTACTAGATATTATATGACATCCGAACTTCAGCCACCACAAATGTCTTGTTTTTAAGTTGTGTTACATTGTATCTTTGTTATAACCAACGAGACTTACCGGAAAGGATGTTATCCAACTCTTGATGCATGGTTTCGTTCAAGTCGAAGAAACCTCTGGTGTCAAACAAGCGGAAGTTCTTATCTGTGAGGAATTCCTGGAGGATGACAGTCCCCTCCGTGGCATCCGACTGGGTAATGGCCGTGGTCTTTCCTGGTTATGGTCAGACAATTGTTAAACCATTTTGTTTCTACCTTTGTGCAATTTGTTGTGAGCTGAATATGTTTACACACAAGAAAACAAGCAAGAAACATTTTCTTTTAAATATGAGGGGAGAATGTAGACATGTGCATCATGAAACTATTCAACCTCGTAATTTTTTCGGCTTCCCTTTTTTTACCCTCCATGAAAATGGGGGTACTGTTTTTACTCCGTTTCATGTTTGGTCTGATATCTGAAGATCGGTGAGAAGGAACTGTACGATATTTGGCAGATTGATGGATGGGGCCTTGGAGATTGTGTAGGTTGACTTCGAGCCCCTGGTGATTGACCTTGGTACTGCAGTTTAATTTTTTTATTCTGTTGTTTTCGCGTTATGGACTGTTTGTGCGATATTAAGGTAGCATGTAGTTGTTATTACCATGGTTTAGTGGTTTAAATTTGGGTCCCCTAGCTGTTTGCGTTTGATATTTACAAAATGTTTAATGTTGGACTTTTTGTGTTGAATGTTTGGAAAATCTAGGGGATGGTTTGGTATGATTTTTGGTATGTGGGTAGTTGTTGAGTCTCTTTGTGTTTTGGAGTGCATTAGCAGGTTGTCGCATATTTTTATTGCTTGATTTAAAAGGATTTTCACTTTTTCACCCCTACTTCATAATAGGATGGTCTGTTTGACCCAAAAGTTGGGACAGAGTGTTTTTGTTTATACCTCCAGCTGGTAGGTCAGACCCAGGCAGCCCTATCTATTTTTACCCCTATAGAGTCTGCAGGAAAATAAATCTTGTTTGTCTGGTCTGCAGGTCATTTGTCTGGTCATTGACCTACATGTACAGGCAAATGTAGCCTGGGTACCATCCCCAGTAGTATATTCGCAAACTCTATAACAGTTTGACTCATAATATCTCTATTGAAATACACCAAAAGATTACAAAATAACAAGCTATTTCATGGAGGGATGATGTCTACGACTTCTCCTTGTTGTGATAGTGTTCACGCGAGATCGAACAAACACCCATGTTCTATCTATTATTTATTCTTTAATTGAGGCCCCTGGCAGACAAACAGAATACTATCGGTGTTTGGCAATCATCTCGCGTGGGAATGTTTCATTTGCAAAATTACAAAAATTCTTTCTTTTCATGCAGAGGGCTGTCTCTTTCATTCAAGATATTTCGGATACAATAATACGAGAAGTACGTAGTTTAGCTATGTACGTGTATTTGTCTCGTCTCAAAGACAGGGGAGGTAGGGACTCAACCGAAATTCCTATATTGTTTTGTAACAACAACAACAACAAGTTAGTCGTGTAGAATAAAATGGCGTGACTCAACTGAGCAAACACACTTTCCCTCGGGAGACACAATCAATTACGTGACCTCTATGGCACTGTCATAGTGATGTACGCTTGACTTACTCTCGACTCAACTGTTACAGGTGTCATTACCAAATAACAACAATGGGTCAGACGATTCCTAGCTGCCGCATGAAGCGTAAAGAATTCCCAGCTTTTGAAAAAAAAGTGAGGTAGCGGTACATGTACATAATGTATCACCTGTCGCGCTTTATCGTACAGTATTTCATCTTTTCTGCTGAAGCAATCGTTATAAAAGATTTTGGACAATGTGATCTGAGTCATAAATTACTTCTTGAATGGTGAATTCTTGGCGAAATCATTCACGTGTGTTTTTTGAAAGATGATATGGTAGGATCTATGAATGATTTGTCCAAAATACACCCAAAACAACATGCGACAACTATCTGAAGGTCGTTAATACGTGCCAACAGTGCATGCAAGGATGGCAAATAAATTTTCTGAACTACTGTGTTTTTCTGCGGGTCGATAAAAGAAAATATGTCACTCAAAGGAGCTGGTGTCTTGAAACACTCTACATGGTTACAGCAACGTAGTTATAATACTACTAAAGCAATGTTGTGTACATACCCAACAGGATCTTTTCGGCAATTTGAATGAAACTCGACTTCCCGCTGCCAGTGGGCCCGAACAGTGCTGAAAATTACAAATGTGAAGACATATTGATACGGTACAAGAATGTACATTGTTTTGCATTGATTGAATCCTAAGGTACAGTTCATAAATTAAACATAAACAAGAAAGAGTAAAGAATATTTCATATCATTTACACACACACACACACACACACACACACACACACACACACACACACACACACACACACACACACACACACACACACACACACACACACAGAGTTACATTATGAAAAATCGTTACCTATGTTGACGTGATCAAATCCCTGTTTGGCGATGTTAACTTTTGAGCCGACCGTGTAGCTTTCCAGCCCCTCTTTCAGCTTTCTCTGTTGTCCAGTCATCTTCCTAGTCAGCTCTTGTTGCTCCCTCCTCTCGCGTTCCTCTCTCTCCCTGCGATCTCTTTCGGCTCTTTCCTGTTGCCGCCGGGCCCGTTCGGTCTCTCGCCTTTCGTCATGCTCCCTCTCAACTTCGTCTTCAGCTTCCATGACTTCATCTTCGTCATACGTATCGTGCCACCTGTCCTGTTCCTAAATGTAAATAGCACAACGGTTTTTTTTACAAGCGTGGTGTGCGTGGGGGGTGGGGGATGGCTACTATAGCTAATAGTTAGGTAGGTGTGTGGCTGGATGGTAAATTGACACAAGTACTGCCAACGTGCTATGACATTTGTAGTATATGATGGAAATTACCACGGTACAATCAAAATTGAAACTGTGCTACCTCTGTTCTTGCACCGAAAAACGGTTTCAGCATTTTGCCTCGCAGTCAGCGCCGTGTTTCTCTGAAACTTGACAAAAACTTCCAGTATTAGGAATTTGACACAGTTTGATTCCAATCTTCACACTAATAAGCCAACATTGGGAACGACCATAATGGTTCAGTTTAACGCTTACAGTAGGTAGATAACAGTTCAGTAATGTGGGGCTTGTGTACGGACATACCTCTTACAATTACACAGAGCAAGAAATCCAGCTGCCCACGAATGTTTGCAAATGGCCGGTATGAGAATTTAGGAGAAGAACTGTACCTTTTTGACGAAAACCTCTCTCCTGAGACTGCTGGCCGTAATATGTTCGAATATCTGTTAACAAGAAAGCAACCAACCCATCATTCAAACTAACGCAGCGTCACGTTAACAACAGAAACGCATGCGCTTACTCATTGTTCATTCTTCACAAACAGACCTATAAATACCACGCTCACTTTGGATTGTCAAACAGACGCTGACTCTAACTGTCAACATGGGGAACACGGTATGTTCTTTTTTTTTCATCACCCCGATCAAGTCTACTTTACTGTGGTAATCAAAAACTGATAGACTTTCAGGGAAATGATTCATAACGCTGCAAGCATTCTACTATTATTGTGACCTAACGTTGAAAGTATATTCCGCTGCTCTGTTGAGATATTATCAGCTGGGGAAAACACTGCTTCATACACTATGCAAAAAAGTATGTGTTGCATGCCAAAATCCAATCGGCTCGTTGATTTGGTTTGGAAACGTGATCGTAATGCAATTATAAGTACATGATGTGCGAATCTGGCATAAAGACCTGTTCCAACACACGTCTCTACTGCTGGTAATGTATTAAAATACATGTAGACCTATATCGCATTCTTGTGACCAAAATGTTAACGATTAGAACAGTAGCGTTATCAACGTTACTTCGTTACTTACGTTTTTCTGTGTGTAAACCGGGTGTTTTTTCACAGTTAAGCGAAGCTCTCTGGGGGAAACCAGAGGTAGTGTACGTTGACAAGTACAAGGATATCACTGAGGAAAAAGTCCGCGAAGCCAAGGAAAAGAAAGCTAGACAGCTGAGGGAGCAGGCTGAGCGGGAACGTAGGGAAATACAAGAGGCTGAGAGGCGAGAAGAGGAAAGGCGAAGGCAGCAGCAACAACAGGAGGAGCAGGAGAAACAGAAGGAAGCAGAACGTCTCAGACGACTGCAGCAGGAATCACGCGGCCAGAAAAAGAAGCTGCTCCGCTACAACTTTGGCGACAAGCATGGTTTGCGTAACTTTGCATCCATTGACAAACGCGACATACAGCGAAGTGGCTTACGGATTGGCGTGATCGGGCCAACAGGGTCCGGAAAGAGCAGCTTCATCAACACCTGTGAACGCGCCATGAAACTAACCGAGAAGGGTAAGCATACATTCACTCGTACATGCTATCTTTATGTGAAAAAAATCACAAGCCCCTTTTAAGGCACGGCGTGTTTCCCGAATCTTTATTTACTGGCATAACTACCTGAATTGTGTTATAATCTACAGAATTACAGCCTTTTACACCCTTCACAAACATTGCCCGGGGTTGCTATCTGCAAGACCCCCTTCCCCATAAGTAAATCACTGTAAAACAAACCATTGTTTTCTTGTGCTTGTTGAGAAAACTTGCCCCACTTGATCATAATTATGACAGACACATGCTAGCTTCTTACCGTACGTAGCTAAGCACTAAATCTAAAAGTAGACCAAAAGAGTTGGCAAAGCAAGGGCAAATAAGGGGAGGGGCAAATTGTCACACAAATATTTAGGAGAGGGAAAAATTTGTACACCACTCCGCCCACAAAGCATGCCTCGTTTAATATCGATAAAGAAAAATTCTTTATCACTTATAGGGACTTGCGAGACGCAAACAAGCGGGGCGGAAGGCACAACCATCGTCCAAGAGTACCTTGACGACATCGGTAGCAAGTTCTGCTTAGTCGACACTCGCGGCTTCTTCAACTACGGTGAGAAGGAGTTCACAGCCATGACTAACATCGTGTATGGACGGCTCAGACCGGGCGAGAAGATCGACCTCGACAGTGCGGAAGAAGCGGGTAAAGACGACAGCTGGGATGCCTTCTCCAACGGGCTCCACGCCATAGTTATCGTCCTAGCAGCCACTCAGTAGAGTTAAGACCATTTCAGGACCCCCCAGCAATTTGGGCGTCGGCCGCCTTAGATACACATAGATACAACCTTTGACCCTGAATTTTCCAGATTTCTCCTATTGTTTGATAATTGCCCTGACCCTGCCCAGTGTGAAAACATTGCAAGAGGGGTGCCGGTGGACCAGGTGAGGTGATACCTGGCCGTTGTGTAGTGTGAAATGTTAGGCTGTCTGGAAACAGTGCTGGATGTGTATTATAATTGACAAAGGATTCTGTGTCTAGGAGTGGTTCTAATTTGTGTGATTCCCATATCTCAACATTACACACTGGTCGATTGTTCTGTCAAATGTGACATTTTCATTGCAAATAGCCTGACAAGGCATAAAACCTATAACACTCTAGTAAAGAAGAACCTGGGTATATTTATAACACCAGGGCCAGGGGTACTGTTCATAATCAAAAGTCTGATAACCCTCCATGTTTTTCTTAGACTAAGGAGAGAACTCAGTGGTTTGACATAGGTAAAACCTTTCACACACTTTCTTTCGAATTTTGGTAAGTTGTAGCAGCTCTATAGAACCCTTTTGCGTCGTGGAACAACAGACGATAAACTGGATAGTGAGTGCGTGTAATCAACTTGTTATAAAGAGCTTACCCCAACCAATAGTTATAATTTTTGATGTTATCAACTTGTTCCTTATGTAGTTGTAGAGTATGTTGGATCAAGAAATGGATTTTTGAGTCTTTTTCTAGTCTTACAATGTACTAGTACTTGGAACCCTGAAACAATGGTTGTTTATTGCTGATAAACCAAGCCAAGCTGACTGTCTGGCACTAGCAGGGAAAGGTGTGGACAAGCCGTGAACTGTCTATTGTTCTCCTCGGGTAGTCTGGTCCCCAACAAGGAAGGTGCTATGTCAACAAGTTAATTGGCTGTATTGTCCACTTATCCCAACAAAGTGATCAGATTTCAGTTCATAAGAAGCCAGAAGTTCAATTTTTGTGATCTTATTTTTTCCTTAAAAGCGCATCCACACAAAACATTCTTTTCAGTTACTGAACACATGTATAGAAAGTAGACAAGTCGTTCTACAACACTGTGTCGGGCCCAGAGTGCACAACATCTCCAACACTTTGCTAGCCTTGTATGAATATTGCAAACATGTAATTTTTGCCAAAAATGTGAACATATTAGATAATATCTGTTATAATAATAATAATGATACACCTGGGATCGATGGGATGTTATAGGGTTTTTACTGACGAATACATACATACCAAATTTGTCTGAAAAAAAGTTTGTCTAGGGGTCCCGCCAGGCACTTGAAGTTTATAGATTTATATGTGCTTATTAAATCAATATTATAATATTAGCAAGTTATTCACAAAATCCATGTAAGCAGAGAGTTTGCCATTGACCTTGTGCTTTAGTAGTTGTAGGAAATGTCAGAAAATAACCACCCAATAAGTGTACATTACACTTGAAAGTTGGGCTGTCAGTTAATGAGGCAGGGAGGCTCAGGGAGGGGGACAATGGTCTTAACTCTATTGAGCAAAGACCCTCTACTTTATAGCGGACAACACATGACCAACCTGAACACGATCCGAGAATTTATGAAGCCAAGAGGTAAATACTTTTTTTTGTATTTGAGAAAATTGCTAATTTGCTATATAAAGCTGACGTTGAGTTTCATACCAGTTCAACAAACACCTTAGTGTTTCTATGTTATTTCTTCATATAGTGTATTATATCGAATTGTATGTATGCTGTATGTAATCTTATTCACATTTCTGTTTTAGCCGTTGGGAATTGTTATGGCCTTTTCTGTTGTTTCGGCATAGACGTATGTCGGCTAATGTATTTCGCATTATTACATTTTTACCAGGTATATCCCCAGTGACTGTTGTAACACACGTTGACCAGGTCAGAGACGAGAAGGAGCTTAACAAAATCAAACTGAAGGCGTCTGCTGCAACAGGAAGCCCTCCGAGCCACGTCTACTTCATCGAGAACTACCATCCCGGCCACAACGACCGAGACTTCAGTATTGAGCTACGGGCGATGGAAATACTCAACTCTGCGCTCTTGGTGGGGGAGAGGTACGTGAGGATTCACAAGCAGCAACAGCAGTACGCTGCAGAGGAGAGGCAAGCAGCTGCCGGTTAGTAGTTTGACATTCCTTGACTTGTCATTTTTTAAAAGCCTAAGGCCACACCAAATTAATTTTCTGTTGGTAACAAAATATTGATGCATTTCACTTTCTATTTTCCAGTTCAGTGTGGGGCAAATGAACCTATTGAAGGATTCTTCCGTCGTCTTTGCGACACCAGACACATTCCGGTATGTTTTCACTTGATTTACATGTAGCGCCATACGTTTAAAACGTGTAGGGCATGAATGTGTGACCTAATATAAATCAATTACTGAATTAGAATACACCACCACTTAATAGTACTTCATTGTGTTGTACAGTATGACAAGACGGAGTCAGTCATCGCTCACTTGAAGGAAGAAGACGTTACAACGGCCAAACTGCTCCGAGACAACTGGGACGACTTGGAAGCCGAGCTGCAGATTACTTCGCGAATGAAAACATACGTCAGAGAAATGTTGTTCAAGTAGCAAAGAACAAAGAAATCAATCGCATTAGATTTTTAAATATAGGCGTCCCTATCTGTGTTGTAACATTCTGTTCACACCACCTTATATTTACTCATAAATCGACAATGGCTACTGGTATGTTGTGGTGCAGGACACGTTGCTCCTTTTATCATAATCTGCTGTACATTCATAGAGTATTAATGGATTAGCAACCGTTGCATATTCGGAACTAGAGTTCCACGATCTCATACCTTCGCCAAATGATGTTAATCTTTATGACTGACAAAGATGATTCCTTCTGATTATGCAAATAAAATCCTCATTTGCATTATATTTATATTATAATATTGTATTATAATATTGTATTATATAGTTGATCATATTCTCCATCAAAAGACAGCCTTATCTTAGCAAAGAAAGCCATTCTATCATTTCCTCATAAATTATGCAAATGAGGTCCTTATTTGAATAACTTATGTTTATTGATGTTCTCCTTCACTTAACTTTCAAATACCCCAAGTATGAAATTCCAGGCAGTTAGCATTATGGAATTATAACATTTTCTCATTAATTATGCAAATTAGGTGTTAATTTACATAATTAATATCTGCCTGTGTTTCTCTCGTTCTCAATTACATATGTCACAAGCTTGAATAGTCCTAGAATGTAATGCAGCTGATTTATAGAATTTTGCCATTAATTATGTAAATTAGATCCAGATTTGCATAATTGTCACATAATTATGTCAAGCGTCACTTGAGCTACCTACATACCAAAATTCACGAATATCCGTCCACCGGTTCTTGAGTTATCCTCTTTTGAATATTTTCAAACAAATAGCCCTGCAGTTCCTGAGCAAGCCGCTAGGGGGCCCAAACTCGTGTCACTTCTTCCCCAGCATGAGAGCTACCTACCATCCAAATTTCGTCACCCCAGCATGTCTAGATCATGAGATATCAAAACCGGAAGTTCAGCTGCAGTACCATAACAAGCCGCTAGGGGGTCCAAAATCTAATCATTTCCAGGTCTCATCAAGACCTACCCACCTACCAAATATCAAGATAATCCATCTAAGCTTTCTCGAGTTATGCTGTTGACAGACACACACACAGACACACACACAGACACACAGACACACGGCCACGAAAACATAACCTTCTTGGCGAAGGTAATAAACGACGAAGACTACACATATGACTACATTAAGTCTTTAACAGTCTGGATCGGCCGTAGTGCTGCATGTTAATTGTAACGCGTGATTAGTGTTTTAACAGTGTTTTCAAACGATGTAACCTTAGGAACCCCCCAAAATAAAGGCACGCTTGACGTGTCACAACAGTGTACATCGATACCTAGTACCTTTATGTGAACCGTGAACCCAGGATTTGTAGAGCTGCCCTAGATACACATCTTAGTCTACACCGCAACTCACTTGTGCTTTTAACTTCAAGTGTGTTGGTGGCGGCATTAATATATGAATGAATGAATGAATGAATGAATGAATGAATGAATGAATGAATGAATGAATGAATGAATGAATGAATGAATGAATGAATGAATGAATGAATGAATGAATGAATGAATGAATGAATGAATGACTTTATTTTCGTGCCATTGCGATCATATGTCGCCCAGCCCATATGGGCTTATAAGGCACCGACAAAATACAAAATCAAGACAAATAAGTATTTATTTTATTATCTTTGGGGTAGTAGGGTTGCACCTATAGCGCTGATCACCCCATCCTTGACTAAGTGGCGTTAAATCCATCAGACGCCCGAACTGTTATGAGTCTTCGGATGCTTTCAGTTCAGGTCATGTAGAGCGCGCATCCCTGCCGCATCGCCAAGATGCGTTCCTAAGGTGCTGGGGTTAGCAGCCCCTACCACCTGATGTAAGAATTCCCGCTAAAGAGACAAATAAGAAGCCTCGAAAGGACGGATCTACCCGGAAACGACAAATGCATGGCAAACGACTGAGAGAATCTGAACTAAGTATACTAGAGGTGAACATCAGAGGCCTTAGGGCAAACCTGGGCGAGCTTGCCAACCTTTGCCACAGCCTCAAACCAACTATTATTGTCGTCATCGAAACATTCTTGGACTCGACTGTGAAGGATGGAGCTGACTGTATAGCCATCCCTGGGTATTCTCTCTGCTGCCGCAGAGATAGATCTAACTCATTCGGCGGCGGCATTGCTGTCTACTGTCTTGAAGGAATCGCAATCCTCCATGACAAGGACCAAGATCCTGAAGACCTAGAACTTATGTGGTTCTCAGTGTCCCTCAAAACTCAGAACCTACTAATAGCTGCTGTCTACAGACCACCAAGCAGCAATAGCGATGTCATTAACTACCTAGATAACAACACACAAACTATGCTTACGGTCTTTAATGCACAGTCTGTGATTCTGCTCGGAGACTTTAATGTCCACCACAAAGACTGGCTCGGCAGTCACACAACAGACTCAGCAGGCCGACGGATGCTTGAGGTGTCCAACTGTCTTGGATTGAAGCAGATCGTCACAGAAGCAACTCGAGGGGACCAGATTCTTGACCTGGTCCTGACCGACATCGCTTCCACTGCTGAAACCATGGCAGCTCTGGGCACATCTGACCACAACCCCGTCCTTGTCAAGTTGAAAGTACCCCTATATAGGGACAAGCCCTACAGGCGAAGGGTCTGGCGCTATGACAAGGCTGACTTCTGGGGCCTCAGAGGTCATCTATCTGCTGCAGATTGGTCAAGCGCCTTTCAGACCAAAGACCCTGAAGAGGCCTGCAGCAATGTAACATCTATAATCCTTGATGCAATGGACACCTTCATTCCAAGCAAGGTTGTCACCAACAAAACTGGCGACAAAGTCTGGTTTGATGATCGTTGCAGGACAGCTGCAAACAGAAAACGGCGGCTATTCAAGGAATTTAAGAAACACAATACAGACGAAAACAAAGCTCGCTTTGTCAAAGCAAGGAAGGACTACAACCGTGCTGAGAAGCAGGCAAAAAGAAGGTACAACAACAAACTGAAAGAGGATCTTTCATATGGAAACCTCTCCAGCAAAAAATGGTGGAACATAGTAAACACACTCTCTGGTAGAAAAGGCAAGTCGGACATTCCTGTTCTTAAGGACCAAAATTTCAGCTACACCACGGCAAGGGAAAAAGCTGAAAAGCTTGCCCAGACATTCGCTGAGAAATGCCAGCTTAAAGATGCAGACGAGCCTGCTCCAGAGGTTCCAATTACCACCACACATACCAAGACCAACATAGTGTTTAAACCAAAAGTCATCAGGAAGTTCCTGCACAAACTGAAACCAGACAAAGCCACCGGTCCCGATGAAGTACCCATTAGAGTACTGAAGAAGTGCTGTGCTGAGTTAGCCAGCCCCCTAAGTCGTCTTTTTAGTCTTTGCTTCAATAACGGTGTGTTTCCAAGCCAGTGGAAATGTGCCTCAGTCATTCCAGTTCACAAGAGAGACTCAAAGTCCAACCCGTCTATGTACCGTCCCATCTCCCTTCTGAGCAACATCAGCAAAGTTATGGAAGCTGTGGTGCAGACAGAGCTTCAGAAGTATCTGTTGCAGAACAACCTTATCTCAGATCGGCAGTTTGGATTTAGACCACATCACAGCACTGCCGACATCCTTACCATTCTTTCCCAGCATTGGTCCAATGCACTGGATAATGGCTATGAAGTGTGTCTCATAGCCCTGGACATCAAGGGGGCTTTTGACAAAGTTTGGCACAACGGACTTTGTTCAAAACTCAGAAGCAAGGGAGTTTGCGGCAAGCTGCTGACGTGGATTGAGAGCTATCTCTCTGACCGTTCAATCAAAGTGGTCCTTTCCGGCCAGTCCTCAACCACGACATCCATCAATGCATCTGTCCCTCAGGGCTCAATTCTGGGACCCCTGCTGTTCTCAGTCTTTATAGATGACGTGGGAGACGGGTGTGAGAGCCCTCCGTATCTATACGCAGATGACTCCACTCTCTACTGTGTAGTCAGAACAAACGACGACAGAGCCTCAGCAGTGATGAGCCTTAACAGGGACTTGGAAAGAATGAGGATCTGGGCAGAGAAATGGAAAGTTACATTTGAACCAACCAAGTGTAAAACAATGACAATCTCTAGAAAAAGATCTCGAGCAAGGTCAGACCTTTCTTTGGAAACACCAAACTGGCTGAGAAAGACGAACTGGAAATCTTGGGAGTCACTATTGACAACAAGCTCAGCTGGACAAAACACGCCTTAAACACTGCAGCCAGAGCTGGCCAGAAACTTGGAGCTATGAGGCGAGTTGCCCGCAAGCTCACTCCCAGTGGAAGAGCTGCAGTGTACAAGGCACAAGTACGCAGTGTTATGGAGTATGCCTCACTGTGCTGGATGAGTGCACCTGCCACCTCGTTGGGACTCCTGGATTCTGTTCAAAGGAGGGCACTTAAAAATCATAGGAACAAACGAACAAGAAGCTAGGTTGACACTGAACATCCCATCACTTCAGCACCGTCGCCAAGTGGCTGCTGCGGCACTCTTGTACAAAATGCACACAGACACATGCCCAGCAGGCCTGAAGACAATGCTCCCCAAGCCGTACACCTTCAGACGAACAACCAGAACTAGTCTTGCTATGCCAACCCACGCACTTGCACAACCGGTATCTAGAACCAGCTCTACCGGCCGGACCTTCATCCACACAGGAGTTCAGATCTGGAACCAACTCCCAGACTCCATTGTGGGCAACATCAACAACAACGGACTGCAGTCCTTCAAAGTCAGAGTCCATCGACACCTCCTTCATTGCAATTGAGAACTTGGCAGCTGTGAGCCACTGATTGCCCACTGATTGAGCCATTGTACAATCAGTGGGTATTGCTCACTATAGCATATTATAAAAAAAAATATATATATAATAACAATTAAATAAATATACAGTACTTTTCGGTCGCGGCGGTTTTTCTAGAGTTCGAGGTTAGAAGATCAGAGTCTTTTGACAAAACAAGAGAAAATAGAACAAATTGTTTACAAAGATAACGCTACATTCAATATTTTCATAATCAAATTCAGTACGTGTGAAAATAAATCGAAGATATTATATCATTCCGGTAAGGAGTCCATAGTCACTCGTTGCAGCATATTTTAGGCCATTTTAGAATGTTACAACTGTCGAAGTTTGGTCTCAAACATGGTTTATACAGCTAAAGTAATATTTTCTATCCACCGAATTTCCTCTCAATATGCATATTCATGCCATATTTTCCATCCCCCGTCTTATTTCCTCTTTCATGCCATATTTCCTATCCCAGTCTCTAATTGATTTCCTATCATGCCATTTTGATGACACCTAATATAAGGAGAGTACAGTATATGAATACCTTCTTGCTAATACATGATGTAGTAACTGTAATGTGTAACGATACAAATGAAAGTGTTCAGAACTAGATCTAGAGTTCCCCGATCCCAAATGATGTTAATCTTTATGACTGACAAATTATAGATTATATTATTATTATTATAACAAGTAGGATCCTCATTTTCATGAATTATATTATTTTATCATATTCTCAAGCAAAAGAGGTCTTATATTAAAAACCAATGCCATTCTAGCATTTCCTCATAAATTATGCAAATGAGGTCCTGGTTTTAATACATTGTGTTTAATGATGTTCACCTTCACTGAACTTTGAAATACCACAAGTATGAAATTCCAGGCAGTTATCATTACATAATTATAAAATATTCTCATTAATTATGCAAATTAATTCTTAATATACATAATCAATATCTGCCTGTGTTTCTGTCGTTCTGAATTACCAATGTCCCAAGCTTCAATAGTCCTATCATGGAATGCAGCTGATTTATAGAATTTCTCCATAGATTATGCAAATTACATCCATATTTGCATAATTTTCACCTAATTACATCAAGCATTACGTAAGTTACCTACATATATATATAGCCCTGCAGTTCCAGAGCAACTAGGGGGCCCAAACTCACGACACTTCTTCCCCAGCCCAAGAGCTACCTACCATCCAAATTTCGTCACCCTAGCATGTCTAGATCATGAGATATCAAAACCGGAAGTTCAGCTGCAGTACCATAACAAGCCGCCAGGGGGTCCAAAATCTAATCATTTTGAGGTCTTATCAAGACCTACCCACCTACCAAGTATCAAGACAATCCATCAAGTCCTCCTCAAGTTATCGTGTTTACACACACACACACACACACACACACACACACACACACACACACACACACACACACACACGAACGCCTCTGAAAACATAACCTTCTTAGCGAAGGTAATAAGGTAATAAGGAGGGTGCTGGATTGGACACTGCAGCTGAAACGCACCTGGATATAGCAGCCCCCTCTAGTGCAAATGGACGTGCCCTTTCACGGATGATATCTCGCTCTCTTGGCCGAGACCAGAACTACGTTCTTTAATCTTACTTAGCGTTACATACCTTGGTGTTGCTTGAAAATGTCGAACCTCCGAAGTTTTCTCAAAACGTACCAAACAGGGCAGATAGTAGACGACTTCCCCGACGCTCGCCAGGGAGAACTGCAGCGTACTGTTGTGAGGGTGGGCCTTTTTGGCCTCACAGGTTCGGGAAAGAGCTCGTTTGTCAACACAGTGCTGAGGTGTTTGGGGGGTAAGGACGGGATCGAAGAATTGGCGATGGTGCAAAGCAGCGGCGCAGAAGGTCAGTATAAAATGACATGTATCGTGTGCCATATATAAAAATCTTAATAAAATACCGTCAATGAACATTCGATGCTAAGAGTATCAGGAAAGTCCCGGGTCATTGAGATATTTGCAAATGACATTTCCCTACAAGGGTACTGTCTAAACTTTACTTCAAATCGTTTACAGGAACGGTGATCGTGGAGGAATTTGCATTCGGAGGAGAGGGAACAGATAAACCTGGCTTCTTTCTTTTGGACACCCGAGGGTTTGACAAGTTGGGTGATGAAGCACAAAATGAAATGCTGGCCATTCTGAATGGAGACATAAGAGGTGGTCAATTCATAGACAGAGGTAAAAACAGTTTAACAGCTAATAGAAGCTTTAAAGTATCCCATCTTTTCCTGCATCGTATCCTTATTCATGTCTATCAAATGATGTGCTGTATCTACCATATGATAACACAATATGAAAAACACCATTTGAAAAGATGTCACAGGATTTCCTTAATCATGCAAATGCTTTCATTTGAGTAATGTTCATCTTTACCTGGTCTAAAGATGTCAAAATTCCCATCATTTACCTGGCTGTAACAGTAATGATAGTATTTGCTCATCAGATTGTGCATATGATTGAACAATTTTTACTGATATTTGTCAATATTTATCTCTTCTTAAACTGCAAGAGATTAAGGCAATGGAATTATATAATTTTTTCATTAATCCGTATTATAGGAAAACCTACAGAGACCTCCATGACAGGACAAGACTACAAGTTAAGTCGGGAGGTACATGTGGTACTGTGGTTTGTCAAGGGCAGTGACCCTCGTCTGCAGAGTGGGACATATCAGAGCCACATGGCATTTCTAAGGATGATGCTTGTTAAGAGAGGTAAAAATGTTGCTCCTTCTTAGTTGTTAGAACTTGAAGTGTAATAATATATCCTGTTAGAACTGGAACTTGTCAAGTTGCTGTGTAAATAGCATAATGGTTTGCCCAATTAGCCAGTGACTATATCAATATATTATATATGACTGAATAAACTTTATGATACATGTTGCTGTCACACACACATGCACACACACACTCAAACACACACACATTATATGCACATAAGGATTTGATTTGTCAGACTGTATAGAGAGTTATGCATCCAGGATATATTACCTCTCCTTGTAGATGTGTACATGTTGTATACATCGCAACTGTAGAAGATCTTGTAGTACCACCATTGACAGTACATAGTACCACCATGGACAGCTACTATAAGAGAGTCTCATATGCCATGGAAACTCTTAGACTGTGAACACTTGCCATCAAATATGAACAATATTGTGCTTCAAGTTTGCTGGATCCCTGATGGTAAACATGGTTTATGACATATTTGCAAGTTCGGCATGTTAACTACCATCAGAGAGAAACAATTTTTTTTTCTTTTCTTTTGAAATCAGGTGAAAATTGAGGCAACCATATGCATAGGATTCACTTGCTGTGGCCTAGTATAGAAAAACATAAAATTGCTACAATAATATCCTATCATCCACAGCTGTGAGGACACTGACGATCATCACACATAATGATGAGCTGCAGAGAAGGGGCTGCACGGATGAACAGCGTCGCAACATCATTGATTTTGCAGGAGAGATCACAGGAAGTGATCAAGACCAGACCTATTTCCTAACAAATTACATAGATGGGAAACCCTTCCCTAGTGAACAGGAACACCAGGTTCTAGACATAGTCAAGACAGCTCTTACTTCAGCAGAGTATACCATTAGAATGAGACAATCCAAAAGAAATAAGCAAGAGAGGGATGCAAAACCACATTAGCTGTGCTGACATATCTGAAACTCATGTATGAAAAAGAGTTTTACGACATCATACATTTCTCAAATGATGTTAACCTTTAATGATGACATATCATAAAGTTTTCTCTGTGATTATGCAAAAGGATTCATTTTCATGAATTGTAATACATAATGATCATCTCTACAAACATTGCAAATTGCAAAAAGTCTTATTTCAACAAAGGTTGTTGTAGCATTTATAATGCAAAGGAGGCTCATTTTTAATTAAAATTGGTTATGGAAATTAGGTCTCTATTTACATACTTGATATCTATCCAACTTTTCATACAGAAAAATAGCATTATTATCATGTCTTGATAATAACTTACTTATCAAAGTTATCATGACTCAAACTTCCTCTAATGTAGCCTGGTTACCAAACCTATTATAGCTCCCGAGTCCTTGCGGAGAGGATGTAGGACTCGGGCTAGGGAGCTATAATAGGTTTGGTAACCAGGCTATCTCTTATGCACATCTCGTTAGGTTCCCTTACAATAGTCATTGTGTGTCAGTAACAGTAACAAAATGGTCTTGCTTAGTCTGAATGGCTTTGTATTCATCATATAATATATTATAAAAAAAGTGCCAGGTAGTGCTTGGCTGCCTAGTTGTTTTTTTATGTAATAGCTGCAGATGTTTCAAAAAGATATTCTGTGAGATGGTGTAATCATAATGCACACTGTTCATATCTGATTTTAAAATGTATATCTGTATTTTTCAACATATCGATGCTTTGTAAATTGGTTTACAATTCAGCTTTTTACTACAAAGGACTAATAAAACGATCTTGAACAAGTTATTCTACAGAAACATATGATCATGCCGGTTGTTTTTCCATGGTGCCCTTTAATTAATCATGCCCTTAGCCCGGGGGTGGGGGAGGTTTCGGACGAACCCCACCACAAGGCTCAAAGGTCCACTTTTTGGTCCCCTTTTTATCTAAAGGTGCAAGATTTTTCTTTAAAAGATGGACTGATTCGTGTCACCAGCGAGGCTGGAATCATATGAAAACGGCTCACTTTGTCATTGAAAAAAGTTATCTCTGATTTTTTTCTGTAAAATTTAAAATCATCTAAAAAGCGCTGACACTGGAAAGGGAACCAGACGAAAATCCTTCGAGGAAGTACACGTGCGTGATACTGTGGATACTAAAGGTACGTGTTTCCATACAGACAACAGGACTTCCGTCAGTGGAATATGTGTCAATTACATTTGCATTGTATTTCTTGTACTGAATTTACCAGTACTCAGATTGAAACCAGGCAAGGACAAATTGTAGAACCACACGAAGAACACCAGAATGTCGACATCATATTCAGGATATCAAGCATTCTAATGCACGTGGAAAGCCTAATGTATATGCCTACATGTACAAGAGCATCTACGCTGAGCTTGCATCGACGTAGTTACTCGGCGTAATTACGTTCATAAGCAGAAAGCTACTTTCACTGTACACACCATCTTGTGATAACATCTAAGTGCAGCCATTCATGCATATGACCCCAGAGCTGACATCCTGTCGTAAGCAATTGTTGTGAGTTGTGACACATGTCACTCCTATTGTGTGTCCTGGGCGCGGTGTTGTGAAGGTGCTTTTAGTACACAAAAGAACACCTGTAATGACTTTCCGCTTCAAATATCACATTTAGATATACGTGAGCGCATTCTGCAAAATAATTGACACATGTGCACCCAAATAAAGTACATATGACCCCAGAGCTGACATCCTGTCATAAGCAATTGTTGTGACACATGTCACTCCTATTGTTGTCCTGGGCGTGCCTTATGTGAAGGTACACAAAGAACGTTCGTTATTACTTTCGACTCCAAATGTCACATTCTGCAAAATGAGTGACTCCTTTAATTTTCCCATATGCACCCAAAAAGTGTTAAGAAGTGAAAGACAGCAAAACTCCTAACGTGACATATCCATACACAATGTACATTATGTTTTGCAGAGCGACCCCTAAAATAGCTTAATATAGAGTATGATCGATCCAACTAAACGAAAAATGGCAACGAAAAAACTTCTTCACAAAAAAACAGCAACTAAAAAGACTGGAACTCCCGAAATTTGCTCGGGACCAAATACAGTATCTCCCTCCCTAGCATTAAGCGGTTTTCGTTGCCCTTTTCCCAATGTACTCCTCCTATTAATGCGCCATACTTTCTTCAGTAGGTCAGGACCCAACCACGTCGAAAACAGGTACGTTCGACGACCCCACATCGTATCAAGCTGCTGACACTGGAAAGGGAACCAGACGAAAAAGGAAGCAATCCTTCGAGGAAGTACACGGGCGTGATACTGTGGATACTAAAGGTACGTGTTTCCATACGTACAACAGGACTTCCATCAGTCGACGTCAAAATCAGGATATCAAGCATTCTAATGCACGCGTGGAAAGCCTAATGTATATGCCTACAAGAGTATACATCTACACTGAGCTTGCATCGACGTAGTTACTCGGCGTAATTACGTTCATAAGCAGAAAGCTACTTTCACTATAAACACCATATTGATAACATCTAAGTGCAGCCATAAATGGATATGACGCCGTAGCCGAAAACATGTCATAAGCAATTTTTATGACTGATGGAAATAGCTTAAGTATCTTTACCACACGTCACTACTCCTATTGTGTGTCCTGGGCGCGGTGTTGTGAAGGTACTTTTAGTACACAAAAGAGCACCTGTAATGACTTTCTGCTTCAAATATTACATTTAGATATACGTGAGCGACTTTAGATATAAGTGACTCATTTCATGTTCACATGTGCACCCAAATGTTAAGAAGTGGTAAACAAATTATGTATTTTATATATATAATATATAAATATATAATATATGATATATACTGAATAATATATATATATAAATCGCGCTCCTGGTGGCCACCTGCCCAGAGGTTTGCCGCCCCCTTAGGAAAACAGTTGCAGACTGACTACTGTAAACACAGGCTACATAAAATCAACAACACGACAATCTAACTAGATGAACAATGTCAACTTTCATAACAATATCTTTCATTTACTACACATTATTCATTTGACATGTCGCAGTAGTTGGAAACCACAATCCCAAAAGATACTCGCAATCATTATGCACAACAGCCACCTAATATCTGCTTAGAGAACCTCGGCTATATATACCTGACAACTACCTAAACCAACGGTCTATTCAAAACAACGGGTTTTTCTGGACTCATAAATGTAGGGGTGCATCTGAAATATTACATTGACCACAAAAACAGCAACGGTAAAAATAAAGACATGTGCATCAACACGGGCATGCCTGCAGACGACGTCTAAAATATTGCATGCCGATTAAACAAAGGGAACCCAGTGTTTTGACTGCGAATACGAAAAATCGTCTAGTCCCGACCCCTATCCCTTTAGAATTCCTGTTTGAGTGTTAAACTGAAGTTGAATTGTTCACCTATCAATAGCGCCACCTTGCAGTTTGTGATTGTACTGTCACGTAGAAACGGTAGCGACGAGTGCGCATGTGCAGTACCAAAGTTCCCGGATATTGGTTACCGTTTTCGAATGTTGGCGACCCCGGAACTGCTGATTGTCTCGAGAAGCCATTTAAATTTTCGATCGTTCCTGCCTTGTTCCGGGCTTCTCTCCTGCAAAAATGGCGGGCAGGGAATATTCCACGTCGTTCAGCGAGTTCGACACGGAAGATCTCAGCCTGGAGACGACCGTACCGACGGATTTTTCGGACGAAGCGGAGGGAGACCGCAGCAGAGGTGGGAGGGCCCGAAAGGAGAAAGTTACCAAACAGCTGATAGAACGTAAACAACTGGCACACGACTTGCAGCTCGTCAGAATAGAGCTGAGTCAGAAGAACCTCATCATCGAAAACCTGAAGGCAGAACATGTTACCAAAGTGGAGGAGCTGGAAGAGAAACTTAGCGACGCATTGCACCAGAGGCACATTCTGCAGGCCAAGCTGGAGTCGCAACTCAAGGTAGTACGAGTATCATGAAAATTATATAAAATTATCAGCTTAGCCTTTTCAGCTTTACCAATATATAATAGTGAAATTATGATGCAAATTATGGTGTTCATGAAATCAGTTTCTGTTACTCCTTGATTCAGAGATGCAAATTGCAAATAAAACTGCAAATAATGATGATACCTACATGTTTTGTACATTATGTACAAAACATGTAGGTATCATAATTATTTGCAGTTGTATTTATACATTTGTATCAGTCACTGTGGTGTGTGTACTTGAGTAGGTCTCCTCAGCTTTATAATATAATAGCGAGTGGCAGTTAAAAGTCACTGTTAAAAAGCAAAAATATTTCTATAATACTAATAAGATGTGTCGCCGACCAACCTCTTCACTAAAAAAATTATGAGTCGATGTTTTAAATTTTTATTCTTATGATGATCAATCAATTGCAGTAATGAAAAGCAGAATTAATAATTTTTGTTAAAAGCGGTGGACATTACACTGCGTAGTAACATAATGTTTTATGTTACGTCGATGAAGGTTAGACATCCAAGTAATACGATACGCCAAAAAGCAGTTACTCAAGCAAATGGATATGATTTTGGAAACGGTCAGATGTTTCAGCTAGTATCCACTAGCTTCACAGCTCCACAATCAATAGTTTGTGCTTACAAACCTGCATTTCCCCTCTGGTCTCTCAGTCACTGACGAAAGCTAGTGGATACTAGCTGAAACATCTGACCGTTTCCAAAATCATATCCAGTTGCTTGAGTAACTGCTTTTTGGCATAATGTTTTATGTTATTTGGAATCCCCCTACAGATGCACCAGGAGGAGTCTCGGCGGAGACAGGAGCAGACACGTGCCGAGATCGAGCGCATCATGCAGCGACAGCAGCAGCTGGAGACAGCTAATGCCAGGCTACAGGCGCACGCAGGTGACATCAGGTGCGGCATCTGATGTGTCAAAACTAGAGCTCTGTACTACCTTAACAAATTTTAGGTACAGATAAACAGGTACAGGTACACGGGTTTAGGTACAGGTCCAGACATCTAGAAGGAGCATAACTAATATGCAATAGATCTTTAATTTCAGGGAAGTTAACACTGTCACTCTGTAACACAAACACACTTCTGTCCTTACTTTGGGACCGTTGGGGGACCAGCTATGTACACATTTTAGGTCACAAATAGGCATATAATTAGTGTGAAATTATTTAGGTACACTACCGGTACTGAGGGATTAGGTAATATTTTGGACCAGTCACCTGTATCTATTTAATTTTTTGGGTATAGAACCAGTACACAGCTCTAGTAAAAACTCCACTCTGTACACTGTTCTAGTTGTAGGGGAAACTGTTCTGTTATGAAAAAATTCTATTACTGTGAATACATTAAAAAAGCCAACCTACCGGACATAATATATTGAATATGCAAATTACAATGCTGAGCTTGGATATATGATGTCTTATGTTGTGATTGACAGGAGGAGTCTTCGTGACTTGAACCTGGCAGAGGGACAGTACTTTGAGCTGAAGGGGATGGGCAGAGGAGCAGATCACCC